AAATAAAATTTGCAACCTAGAATTTTATAGAATTTTTTGAAAAACATTTTATTCAAGAATTACATAATTTCAAATATCTTCCAAAATACAGTTTCCTAGATTGCTACAAAAGAAAGCAGATTCAATAAGAAATTTAAATCATTAAATATGTTTCACTAGTATATACATACAGAATGTCAAGCAATTAATATTTAGCCCTGGAATGTGTACCATGTCTTTGTTTTTCCTTATTAAAGAGAGGCTCAATCCAGCACTTGGTATAGGCTATGTACAACAGGCCAAGTTCAGTGTTCAGGAGAGTTTTTTTTTTTTTTCAAGGAAAAACTTTTATTCAGAATAAGCATTAGCAAAATGAAGGTAGGTGCCTCATAATGCAGGGCTACAGAGTACTCAGAAACAGATTAGAAAATCATTACAAAACTTTGCTATAGATTAAAATAAACTTGAAACCACAATCATTGGCTATAAAATGCCGCTGTATGGAATCACTAAAAATAAAAGGTGAAAATCTTCAGACGATTTGTTCTCTTGCTCGCCCAAGTTGCAGGGAGTCAACAGCCCTCAGAATCCAGTGCAGCTGTGACACTCAAGGCCAGGGAGTGATCAGAGGACCCCTCAGCCCCACCGCTGTGGCCCTGCCATTGAATCTGCATGAAGACCACCTGGCCTCCAGAATTTTATACTCAGCCGACATATTATTATTTTTTATTTATTTATTTATTTATTATTTATTATTTATTTATTTATTTATGATAGTCACAGAGAGAGAGAGAGGCAGAGACACAGGCAGAGGGAGAAGCAAAGCAGGCTCCATGCACCGGGAGCCCGACGTGGGATTCGATCCCGGGTCTCCTGGATCGCGCCCTGGGCTAAAGGCAGGCGCCAAACCGCTGCGCCACCCAGGGATCCCCCCAACATATTATTTAAGAGTGGGGTCAAAACAATATATTTCAGACAGAGAAAGTAAGAGAACATTACTCTCTCCAAGTCTGAAAGAAGAGAGAAATTGAGCAAGAAATTTGGTAAACATAATGAAATCTCAATAAGTACTGACATTATTATTATTTTTGTTGCAAATAGAAAATAATAATCACTGTATTAAAACAATAATTGTTATAAATGAAATCAAAATTCAAAAAGAGAAAGGGGATCCCTGGGTGGCTCCGCGGTTTGGCGCCTGCCTTTGGCCCAGGGCATGATCTTGGAGTCCGGGGATTGATTCCCACATCAGGCTCCCTGCATGGAGCCTGCTTCTCTTTCTGCCTGTGTCTCTGCCTCTCTTTCTCTCTCTCTGTCTCTCATGAATAAATAAATAAATAAATAAAATCTTTAAAAAAAACAAAGAGAAATTAAAAGTAGACAATAATAAGACATAAAATAAGGTATATGGAAATCAATGCAATTTAAGGCTCATGTATTCTGTAAAGGGAAAGTAGAGATGGATGATTAAGACTAAGTGACGTTAAGTCAAGTGGGCATTTTAATAATATAAGTAACCACTAGAATAATAGAAATATAACATATAATTTCCCTAAAATGACAGAAGTATAATGTTTAACTTTCACAGCATTAAAGGGAAAAAAGAAATTAAGGCCATGAAAAGATAATGAATTTACCCAGTATCACAAGCTAGTTCATGGTAGAAATGGGTCTAGAGTCCAAAAGTCTGGATTTCTGGTGCTGCATTTTCTTTGGGAATACTCTAGGAATACATCAATCAAACTTGAGAGTAAACAAGATTTATATAATTGGCTGCTTTTGAAATAGTTTCTCAAAGCTCTATATACCTGACTTGGCTTGATCCCAAGAGAAAGGACAGTGATTTTATAGCACACCATATACTTTTCTATTCACTTTCCATTGAGCTTAAAGGAGTAATGACTAGAAGGAACTATTTCATCGTATCTAGCAATCCTTATATAATATTCACTAATTGCAAAGCAGTGTTTTAGACGGTGTGGGATAGCTGGTCTTGAGAGAGATAGACATACATATAACCATAACAAAAGAAGTTAAATGCATTTAGTTAAGTATGGGGCTGAATTTTAAACTGGGGGAAATTCAAACTTCAAAGTGGCAGCATAGTTTAATGGCACAGAGACCCTCTATAAATGTATCTGATGAGAGTGGTATAGCCTATCAGGATTTGGGGTCTGATGAAAGAACTGAGAGTACTGTTTATCAAGATCACTGCTTTAAAAGGTAAAAGAGGTTGGAAATTATGTTTCATTAAAAGGCAATGAAATAATGCAGAAATGGTTATTGAAGAACATGATTATCTGGGACTTCATGCACAGAAATTATAATTAACTGATTTTTTAAAAAAGAAATAATGACAAAAATGCAAATGTCTACAATTTAGAAAGCAATTTCTAAGGGGATTTTTAGGGTCTCTACAAATTTAATGTCCTCCTAATTTTCAACATTATATATTTTTAATTGAATGTTGACATTAGGGATAGTAGACATCAGGGATGAAAGGGACATTAATAAACGCCCTAAATCATATCAACTCTCTTCATAGATCTTTGCCCAAATCTTCCTGTTAATATAATTATATATAATTTAGAGAATAAATATTTCTCCTACATATTCTATGTCTGCCTTTATGTCATAATTTGGTGGAGAAAGACAGGTCACATTTTGTTTAAGCCTTAGTATCACATAATTCTTATCCCAAATTTATTCGCTGGTAGTGTTTCTTTTGTAGCTATATAAAAGGGAATTTTCATGAAGCTTTCATTTCTTTTATATAGTCATACTGCCAATTTTCTTGCTATTTTCCATGCTATTATGAGACCAGTACTGAATACATGTAACATATTGTAGGCATTCAGTGAATACTGGTTACATCGAATATAAGTATTTGGATAGTGGTAAAGAAGATAGGCTTTTTTTCTGGCAGTTAAACTCATTTCCTCATCTATTAAATTATTCCTCTCATGGGAGTGTTTTGAGATTTAAATAAGAGCCCAGGCGAAGGGTTTGACAACTAGTAATATATTTATTTTAAAAATAAACAACTAAAATAACTGTTTAGCAAAGAAGAAAAATTAAAAATAGCACACTAAAAATATAGATTCTTAAGGGAAAAACCTCATTTAAAATGGATATAAAGTCTTTCATATCTGATTAAATCTTCATATATATAATTAATTTGTTAACTTAATTTTATAACATCATTATATTGATTTACTTTATCACATCTTAAGTTTTTTAATCTTGGTTTTTTGGAATTATTATTTCTTGGAAAAAAGCAAAAAATACATGTGACTGTATCAAATTTTACATGTATTATATAAGCTTTCAATAGGAAGTTCCTTTTCTAAAAACAGTAAGGACTCAAAAAATTTGACTTGATCTAAGGTAAACGCAATATTTCCTTTATTATATCTCTAGCTTTTTAAATATTAAAAATGGGAAATCAATCACTCTTTCTCTGAATCTTGTTCCCTTATTCTTATGACATTTGAAAGAACAACTATCAGTCTTTTCCAAAGTACTTATTAGGATATGTGGGGAATCATCCATTTATGGTCAACTGGAAGGCCTGTGGAAGTTAATATTGATACTGATATTACAAGCTGAGGAGTAATTGCGATATTTGGAAGTACTCTGAGTCAAATAATTCCAAAAGTGTAAGTAGTAAAAGAAATTCCTTAGTCTTCTATTTTTAACTACAAACTATTTTTAAAAAATAATGCACTCAGTCTCATTTTTTACTTATACTTCATATTTTCAATTGCTCTTTTTTCACCATGGAAACTTAAAACAAAGAACCATGAAGTAACATTTGCCATTTGATAAATCTGATTAAACTGAAGGTGTTTACCATTGAAACTGACTCTACCCACTAACTCCATCTCAAGTTTACTTTCTGTTAGACAAAATATTACTATCTTTTCCCAGAAGGAATCCAAGCCATTGTCCATTGGAAACAGTTATATTTTAGACCGTTAAACATTGCAGGGGGTTCTAAAATACAAAAATAAGTATTGGTCTTGGAATAGATTTCAAGAGTTTTTGAAATAAGTATTCCAAAGACATTTTAGGGTTATTGGCTAGATTAAAGAAAGATGTTGAAATAGGGGGAAAAAAAGACTGTTTTGAAACTTGTACTTACTGTACAAACCTAGCCACAATTACCAAATCCATTTAAAATGGTAATTTAATAAAATCATAAAGTTAGCAGAGACTGAGCATATAGCCTATTCTGAAGGTTAGTCATAGTTTTATAGTTAAAAAAAAATCCCTTTAGTATGCCATGATATGATCTTCGTCTTATCATGGATGCCATTTGGAGAGAGGACAGACTTTAGAGCTAAAAAGACATAGATAAGGATTGAAGCCTAATCTCTTACTATCTGTGACAATGGGTAAGCAAATGAGTTAATCTTTTTATGCTCCATGCCTCATCTGAAAATGGTAGTAATAATATATAATGTAGGGGTTCAAGTGATGAATAGTGTAATTCTGGTACAGTGCTCAGTAAAGTAACAGGCACAAGTTTGGGCTTAACCAGTGTTAGCTATTCGTTATCCTGAGTAGCACATTACATTCAAACAGCAACTCTGTTTTAACCAACTTTTTCATTTTTTTTAATTCTCACATTGTAAAGGGGATTTTTAAATAAATTTATTTTTTATTGGTGTTCAATTTGCCAACATATAGAATAACACCCAGTGCTCATCCTGTCAAGTGCCCACCTCAGTGCCCGTCACCCAGTCACCCCCAACCCCTGCCCACCTCCCCTTCCACCACCCCTAGTTCGTTTCCCAGAGTTAGGAGTGTTTCATGTTCTGTCTCCCTTTCTGATATTTCCCACTCATTTTTTCTCCTTTCCCCTTGTAAATAGCCTTTCAGTTTTTGAAAGTGAAACAGTATATGTCACAGTAACTTATAATTAATATTTTATCTATTCAACAAACACTTGCCAAATATCTAGTATTCAGAGTCTAGCAGTGGACACCAAGGAGGTAGACAAATAAGAACACTTTTATTTCAAACAGCTTTTATTCACACTAGGACTAGAGGAAAATCTAATTCAGTAGAAAACACAAGACAAAAGGAAATCTTTCATCCTTTGAAGGAAAATCACAACATTAACAACATTGACATTAATTTGGAACACACCATTGAATTATTCATTCAATATTTTCAAATACAAAAAAGGAATCCTAAAGAAGGTAAACATTCCATGAGCATGTTCAACAATGGTATTGTTATTAGGTATTAATCCTTTATTAGATAATTATTTTTCACATCTGGGAAAACATCACTGGCAGCACAATTTTAAGAAAAGAAGTTTGGCAACAAGTATTTTTCTCAGCAGCTCTGGATGACAGATTTTGGTGAATGCTAGCCAAAAAAATTAAGGGCAAAACCACTGGTGCACAGAGGACAACAAACTGATCTTATTACAGAAACAGATATCAGACCACAATAGAAAAGACATTTTAATTTTACACAAAGCCAGAAACTCCAGATTATTGGCATACACATCAACAAGCCTGGTCTAAAGTTGTTTAATCATGAGAGTAATAAATATTCGTTTCCTGCCTGCCCTGCCCACCTTGTTTAAAAATATCAGGATATTTGCTTTCAAATGACACAAACTGACAAGGTATAATCTACAAAATGGTCATTCACTTGTAACAGAATGCTTCTTATGCCTAGCAACCACTGAAAGGGCAATTTCATATAACCCAGCTATTGTGGAGATAGACACTGACATTGCTTATCCAGAAAAAGTTTGAGAATCTTAAAATTAGAAAAAGCATATGTAGATTTTTATCTAAAAACATTTTTTTCATCCCCAGGAAAGTGTGATTCCTCTTTAGATCTCAGAATTCTTAATTCCTAAGTTGTTATATTACTTCACTTCTACTCAAGTTTAAGTTAATAAAAGCAACAGCCTGAAGCTGCTGCAAGATATCAAGTATCATAAAATGCCAACTCTAAGAAAGGGCACAACCATGAAGCTTAAAGGACATGACGACATTGTCCCACAAAACATTTGACCCTCCTTTATTTTATTTGATGTTGCAACATTTGCCTCTATTGTGCCTAAGGCCCAAACAGAAAAATAAAAGGCTCCAATTTTCTTTGAATAGTCTGGAAATAATATCTTATTTCCAAATTATATTGATTTAAAATTACTCCTCTGGCATTTTTTCTTCAGGTTAGAGTTTATGCTTCTGAGTTTACTCAGAAAGGCATCATCCAAACGGCATGGAGAGTATATATAATCTTCTTACTGCTATAACTAGTACAACAGAAGTAGGCAGTACCAAGAATGGTGGGAAACCACATTTGAGACCAAAAGAAAAATTCTGTATTAATAAAACAAAGTGCCAAATCCAAGACCGTAGGCCAAAACACAATAACTGGGTCTATATTTTAAAATAAGAATAGTAAAAAAAAGTCAAGTAGTTCTTGAAAAGGAAGAGATAAAAAGGAAGATAAAGAGAATCTATACTAGAGTTTATGTAAATTGGCATGACTCAAAGTATACCTAGTAGTGTCTCAGAATATAAGTTGCCGAGGTTGTTTCTACTTAGGAAACATAGAGATTTAAGAAATTACTCTGATAGTTTAGATATGGCAGTTTGTTATTGGCAGTTAGACAAGGGAAAGAAGGGTGGAAAGGAAATTGTTGGTTACTAAGACTGGCCCTGTATGGTGAATTCATCATGCGTTTGCTAAAAGTTCCAGTTTGAGAATTAAGATGGTTTGAGAAATTGTTACAATCCTATTACTCTATCATTGAGATCAAGTCCAAAAAGCCCCAGATCAACAGTCTAAGTTTCAATTGTCTGACCCAGCTATTTCCAACATATTATAACTGACTCAGCTGTTGCATAAGCCATTATATAAAACCAGCCATGTATATTATAAAAAACATAGACTGGAGCTGATTTGGAGAAATCAAGTTCTAGAGTCCTATATACCATGTTTATCTAAAAAATTTATACTCTGGACCATATGACAAGCATGTTGTGTTTCATGAGGCATTTGATAGAGTAAAATCAAGGAGGCAAGGGCTATGGTTTTCAATGTAAATAGGACTGAGAAAAGAAGCCACAGATAGGCACTTACGTATTTTAGTGATGGTACTGATTCAGGTGATATAATACTCCTAATACTTCATTCAAAAGGCAGTAAATAGTATATAATACTGCTGGAGACCAAAATATAATTGTGTCCTCTGGGAACACAAGAGATATTATATTTGATGAAGATCATGACCATGTTGATGATCAGTTTTAAAGACAACAATAAAATGCCTCCATTTCTTAGCTTAGATCATCTGGTTTTCATTTCTTTTGGAGGTGAAAATTCTCTCTTTACGGAAGAGTTAAACAGGTGTTGTTCCCTACTTCTTTTCTTTTTCCTATTTTCTCAGCAAGTCATTTCATTCCTGAAGCAGGAAAAGAATGTTAAGATAGATACACCTAGAAATGACAATGTCAAACTCTGACAAAATGATTATTTCCAGCTCAGAATGAATTGCTTTTAAGACAGAAAACTTTGGCTTGTTTTGTGGCTATTAGACATTTAATACTTTCACTGAGACAAGTTGAGTGTAAACTTTCAGAAGATAAATAGTAATAAATATTTAAATAAACCACCTTAAACATAGATGCTGGCATAAAAAATAAGTATAAAAGTCCTGATTGAAGAGAAATTTTCTCCCAGGAGACTTTCCACACGATAATTCTATTTTATTTCCATATGGAATCTGTGAAGAAATCCAGTAAATCCACAAAGCTTTATGATTGACCTTTGGAAATAAAATAGTACTAAGCTGTTAGGAGAGACCAGCTCTACAGTTTCTGAAATTGTGTGAGGAGACATCCTGCTTTCAAATCCACCACGTTTTCTTTTTCTTTTTTTTTTTTAAAGGTTTTATTTCTAAGTAATCTTTACACCCAATGTGGAGTTGAGCTTACAACCCCAAGATCAAGAGTTGCATGCTCTACCAACTGAGCCAGCCAGATGCCTCACCTATCCTCAGTGAGAGGTATGTGAAAGTTTGCAAAGGGTTATAGTAAAAACTGAAGGCAAGATTTCAATTCTTGTGATTGGTAATGGAAATGCGATTTGCAGTAGTTTTGCACAAGTATCTCCATTTTCTCTAAAAGCAGATTTCTATCTCTGATATTGATGTAAATATGTTAAAAATGTTTTAAAATATTTCACTTGAAAACATTCTTTCCATTTACTAAGCAATAATTATATAGCCTCAATTATCACTTGAAGTCCATTTTACTTATTATCCTAATAAAATTGTCTGTTTTTCAATTTTATATTTAACCCTGGATTATAGCACATAATTGAGAAACTTAATTTTCTTTTTGTATTTATTATCAAATCTTATTAAAGCCCTGGGATTATTTATTAATTGATTTCTCAAAAGTCATCATTTTTATTCATCATGCATAAGTTATGAGATTGTGAGAAAGCTTATGCATTTAGCCTTCAAAGTATGGATCAGAAAGACATGTTACTGATAATGTTTAGAGGGGAGTTCTTCTAATAACCTCTTACTATTATGAGCAATAAAAATTAAGTGTGTAAGTGAAGAAAATGATTACCAAGTGAAACCACCCTTTCAAAAAGTGCTGGTCTATTTCAAAAGAAGTGTTGATATTCTCCAAAAGCCTCCATTCCGTCCCTGAAGGCTATCCTACAGCTTGTAATGGTATAATCAAAAAGCACTGGCATTCTGTTCTTAATACTACATTCAGCTGTGATTAATCCTCTCCATAGTTTATCTGCCTCTTGGTATCCTAAAGACCCTAACTGCAACCAATTGGGTACAGTATCACATGGAAGTATGTGTGATTAACTCATTAATGTGTCATGTTTTAAATCTAAATAACCATGGAGATGTCCTAGTGATTTGGCTTTATCAGTTTGATGGCTATGTATAATAAGTATGTGGCAAAATTATTACAGGAAGCTTCAGTAAATTACTATGATTGCACTAATCTGTTTCATTTTCTTATTCAACATCTAAAAAATATCTGGGAGGATGGAAAGTAGTAACAGAGACTTGTTATTATGAAGTTGATTTTAAAAAGTCACAATTACATTTCCAATTAAAATACGATATAACTTTCCTTGTCAAGGTGTGTGTGTGTTTTCTTTGGCTCCACTATTTGGTTTTCTGTAAGTAAATCTCCTCAAGCAATTATGGAAAATAGCAAGAGCTAGCAAACAAGATTGCATGAATTTCTTCGAAAATATTTTTTTTGCAAAAATTCATTACTATTGTGAATCTAGATTGACCTTACTCTTATGCAATAAAACTAATTTTTAACTAATACTGAATTACATTCCATTTAAGATTTCCTATTTCAAAGAGTGTCTCAAATTTCTAAGATGTTAAACCAAGTATTGAGCCATTTTTGTATATGTAATAAAAGTCTTTAAAATTAAAATGGTAATCCTAAAAAAACCAAATGCATGAAAAATATGGTCTGACTGTATAACAAAAGGGAGTTATATAATTCTACTTGAGTGAGATCTTTCATCTTTGATTTACAGGTTAGAGTCCTCTTTAACTAAAACCATATTGTTCTATATCTTTCATATCATGGCCTTCCCTAAAACCTTGTTTTAATTAAGGTCTCTTTCAGATTTCTGAATAAAAGCATGACAATCTTCACTTATGGCTTTAATATATCCTTTGAGTTAGGAAAATATATAAAAGAAACATCAACTCTTTCAAAAGCATCATCAGATATTAAATACTGTGAGGTATTCTACATCAATATCTTTAGGTGTTTGAGTTATACATTGAAATAAAATTTTGGGAGGTAGGGGCATAACCTACTAATATTTAGTAAATCACTTTTTATCTCAGAAATAAATGTCCTTTATTTTTAGCCTTTGACATTAAGGCAACATGTGTGAAGGTTAAATTTATGTTTTTGTGTTTGTCTTTTCTCCACAGGAAGGCACAACTTTAAGGTTAACACAATTCAAGGTGACTTCAAATAGGCAATGCCTTCATTAACACATTTTGAAGATCTAGAAAATTCAGTAACATTGCTTCACCTCAATGATGTCACAGCTAAAAGAATACATCAGGCCAAGCAACCGTGTTAACCTGAAAAGTAAAACCAACCAACCAACAAACAAACAAAAAAAAAAAACCCAAACACGAAATACTCAAGGCTCCTGAGTAATTGGGGAGATTATGGGTAATCTTTAGCTTTTCTATAGGAAGGAAGGATGAAAGGTAAGAAGAAAGGATGTGATGGAGGAAAGATGAAAAGTGAGAACTAAGTTCTTAATGGATTTGGAAAAAATTAAGACCGTCTTATGTTGAACATATGCTTGAAACTACTATCATCAGAGCAAAGGATGTATGAGGGGGGAGACCTCATCCTCAAATACAATTGTAAATCTCCATGTGTAGGGATACACAGAGGGATATCAGGGAAATAGGGTTATTTTTCTCAAAAAATGTGACATAAAATATTGCACCATTACATACAGTATGTGAGGTTCCTTTGGCATTTGGACTTTGAGATTTAGCATGGTTTATTCCACTGAAAAAAGCCTCATCCCAGTTTTTCCATCTTGAACTCTTACTAGCAAGAGTTGAATCATGTGTTAAAACAAAGGCCAAAAAACAAACAAAACAAAACAAAACAACCCTTGCAATATGTCGGGAACTGCTATCCGTTCATAGCTGAAAGCAAATCCTGTAAACAATTTAAGACTGACAAAAATTACCCAATAAAAAACTGATCAGAATGTCAGGAATGAGTATTTCTTAGGTTTTGCCCAAAATTTCACTGGCTGTCATAGCATCCATAATAATTAACAGTATCTAATGCTGTACTGGATGTTATTAGTTCATACGCTGGGCCTAGGAGTGGGTCACCCAGCATATTAAAAGTATGCTGGAAGCAGTTTCTTCCAATCGTGGTTTACTGTAACTTTAGAATCACAGCAGTTACGTTTAAGGAATCTTTAATGCCCTTTCAAGTCCATCCAAAGAACAAGTGAAGCTGCTGTTCAGAATTTTGTGCCCAGTGTTTATGTTACATCGAATCTGTGCCACCCAGGCAGCAGACAAGACATGTCTGAGGGTGCTGGGTGGGGGGATACACAATGATGTCACACACAGGAAATATGGGGGTGGGGGGGCTTGGCACTTCACAAGGCTGGCTCCTCTTCCATAGGCTCACCAGCAGTTCTGTAAAAATAAACAGGCAATCAGAATACGGCATAAGAGTACACAATGACATTGTAGATTTTCATGCATAATCAAAGCTGATTTTTCAGCTCTCTCTGATGTTTATTTGTGTTATTCAGTTATCCATAAATAGAGTTTCTTTCCTAGGAAGTATAAACAAATGTCAAGTGGAAAAACATTTTAGATCCAAGCAATCATTGGAAATGTTCCTGTTTATATTAAAACATGTCAAAATATTTTATAATTCTAGATTCTGAAATGTACATGTTTTGTGTCTAGGATGGTCCAATAATTTATTGAAAAAATTAACTATAGTATTTTATTTTAGGAGCAATTACAATGATTTCCTATGGAACCAGTGTGCTAATGAGAGCAAAGGACCCAGCTTGCTTCTGGAGGAGACTCACCAGGGCTCTAGTTTTTGCTTCTGTTCTTTCATAACTGGATTGGCTGCCTGCCGGAGGCATTTCAAATCAAATTCTGAATTTGATTAGCAAATCGCTGCTACAGAACCAACGTTTTTACAAGAAATGCTCTATGGTAGTGTGTAAATAGTTTTTATTCGACATCATCTGTGGGGTGTTCTGCTCAGGCAAAACCAAAACTAATTGCTTGAAAATTTATACTTGATACTTAAACTTAATTTAGTAACACTCTGAGGGTGTTTTAAGGCAAACTTTTAGAATGATTTTTAATTTAGTCAAAGGGACAGATTGTAGCAGATATCCAAATACATGAAGTAGTTGGATTATTGAGGGAAGAAAACTAGGTTTTGAGATGACGAGAGAATTGATTTTGAATCTGAGCTCTGTGATTTGCTAATGCTTCAATTTGCTAATGTTCTAACTACACTTCTGTGAAGCTGTGGCTTTAGGTTCAAAAACGTGGGGAAAAATGTTCTTAGCAGAGTTAATGAAGGTTTAAAAAAATGAAATAAAATTGACTTGTAAGTAATAAACACTATGAGACATTACTTATTTAATATTTTGGATTTGTCCCTTTGTCATCTAGCCTATGCATAAAATTGTGTGAATTGCACACAGATACAGTCATGCCTGTGCTACCACAGGAAACTAAGGAAACACAATATTTAGATGATGGCTCTCTTTGGGTGGTGGAATAATAGATAGGTGGCTTTCATTTTCTTTTTCATACAGTTTATACTTGCTAGTATTCTATAATGAGTTACTTTCATATTAGAAAAAAATGCCATCTTTAAAACACAGCTGTTTATGAAGACAAATGGACTATTTAGCCATTTTTAATAGATTTATAATAAAAAAAGCCGATATTTCTAGGCATCTCTAAGTAGTTTCCATTTTAACTTAGTGTTTTTATAATAAACTTAAAATATTAAAATCAAGTTTTATCAATGATATGGTAATGAAAAATATTTTAACTCCTCCTCTGAAGAGTGAGAAATATCAGCTATTCATTATTTAACATTACCCAAAAGAGGGAGTTCCAAATGAGTCCATGTGGAATACAAAAAAAAAAAAAATCATTTCTTAGGAAGTTATAGCCTGCCCAAGAGTGTACTGGATAAGGAGACTGTGAGAAAGTGTTTAGATTTGCTATGTAAGATAAAAGCTATTTAAGTGAGTCATACTCAATTTAAATCTTTCCAAACAAAAATTATCTGCATTCTGAGAAGAAAATTCTTAAGGAAAACGTTTAAGTGAATAATTTATATGTAAACATGCAAACTTATTTACATCTAACAATATGTGGATAATACAGGTGTAGAATCCTCAAACTAGGTACCCTAATGGAGACTGAATTTTCTTAATTTTTTCCAGCCTTGAGACCTGACATACAATATTATATAAATTTAAAGTGCAATGTGATGATTTGATACACATATATATTGCAAAATGTTTACCACAAAAACACATCTTTCACCCCACATAAGTACCATTTTGTTGTTGTTATGGTAAGAATATTCAGGATTTAATCTCACAGCAACTTTCATGCATACAATAGAGTATTGGTAACTCTATTCACCTTGCCTTACATTAGATCCCTGGAATTTATTCATTTGATAACCAAAAGTTTGTACTTTTTGACCAACACTGCTGCATTTCCCCCAACTCCTAGCCCCTGGTAACTAACGTTCTGTTTTGTGTTTCTATAAGTTTAACATGGGCTTTTCCCAGTTTTATTCAGAAATAATTGACATATATCATTGTATAAGTTCAAGATGGTTTGATTTACATATACTGTGAAATGATTATCATAATAGGTTTAGTTAATATCCATCATCTAATACACATACCGAGGTCAAAGTTTTTAGGTTTCACATATAAAAAAGATCATACAGATAAATATTTTTCTTACTCTGCCTTATGTCATGTAGCATAATGCCCTCAGGTTCACCCAAGTTGAATCTTCTCTTTTATGGCTGAATAATATTGCATTGTAAGTTGGGGCTTAGTCTGTTCTTTTTCTAGAGGTTCCTTAAGATATAAGGATTGTTGTAGATTATGTATGTATCTATGTATGTACTTAGGTAGGTATTTACTGCTGTAAGTTTGCCTCTTAACGCTGCATTTGCTTTAGCCCAGAAGTTTCATTATATTGTGTTTCCATTTTTGTTTCAATATATTTTTTGGATTTTCTTTTGATTCTATCCTTGATCCATTAGTTGTTCAAGAGTGTGTTAATTTCCACATTTTTGTGGATTTTCCAGTTTTCCTCTTGTTATTCGTTCTGAATTTCATACTATTGTGGTCAGAAAAGATACTTGGTATAAGTTCAGTCTTTTAAAATTTGCTAAGACTTGTTTCATGACATAACATGTGATTTGTCCTGGAGAATGTTCTGTGTACACTTGAGTAAAATGTGTATTTTCCTGCTGTTGGATGAAATGTTTTGTACATGTCTGTCAGATCCATTTGGTCTAAAGTATAGATCAAGTCTGATGTTTTCTTATTGATTTTCTTGTCTGGAAGATGTATCCATTAGAGAAAGTGGGGGTACTGAAGTTTCCTACTCTTATTGTATTGCTGTATATTATGCTTTCCAGGCCGGTTAGTATTTGCTTAATATATTTAAGGGTTATGGTGTTGGCTACATAAGTATTTACAATTGTTGTATTCCCTTGATGAACTGATCTCTTGTTACAGTTTTAGATCCAAAGTCTATTTTTTCTGATATAAGTATGCTACTCCTACTATTTTGGTTTCCATTTGCACAGAATATCTTTTTCCATCCTTTCACTTTGAGCCTATGTGTGTCCTTAAAACTGAAGTAGTCTTTTGTAAACAGTAACAAAGGGTCTCGTTTGTTTGTTTAAATCCATTTAGCCACTCTATGCCTTTTGATTGAAGAATTTAATCCACTTACATTTAAAATAATTGTTTCTCTCTAAGGGCTTACTATTACCATTTTGTTAATTGCTTTCTGGCTGTTTTGTAGTCCCTTTGTTCCTTTCTTTCTCCCTTGATGTCTTCATTTTGAATTGATATTTCTTCACAGCGGTATACTTGATTTCCTTCCCTTTATTTCATGTGTATCTACATAGCTTTTTGTTTTATGGTTAGTCTGAGGCAATCTTGAAACATCTTGTATCTATAAAAATCTATGTAGGGATCCCTGGGTGGCGCAGCAGTTTAGCACCTGCCTTTGGCCCAGGGCTCGATACTGGCGACCCGGGATCGAATCCCACGTCGGGCTCCCAGTGCATGGAGCCTGCTTCTCCCTCTGCCTCTCTCTCTCTCTCTCATTCTATGTGACTATCATAAATAAATAAAAATTTAAAAAAAATCATGACCTCAAAAGTCCTTAAAAAAAAATCTATGTAAGCTGATAACCTACTTTTGATCACATGCAAAACTGTACCCCTTTACTCTTCCTCCTTACATTTTTTTCATGTTAGAATTTCAGGGATGTATCTGTTAGTGAATTACTGTAGCTACAGCTATTTTTAACACTTGTGTCCTTTAGAATTTATGCTAGAGTTAAGTGATTAATACAACATTTCACAGTATTAGGGCATTCTGATTCTGTGTTCTTACATTTACTTGTGTAGAGAATATTTTCATGTTTTGTTTTTATGTTGCTTATTATTATCCTTTCTTTTTCAGCTTATGGAACTCCTTTCAGCATTTCTTGTAAGGCAGATGTTGTGATGAAGAACTAACTCAGCTTCTGTTTTTTGGGAAAATTTTTATCTCACCTTCATCTCTGAAGGACAACTTTGCTAAGTAAACTAATCTGGTTGGCAGGTTTTTAATTTCAGCATTTTGAATATATCATCCTACTGTCTCCTGGCTTGCAGGGTTTTTGTTGAGAAATCCACTCAGTCTGATGAAGAGTTCCCCAGTATGAGATATTTTTTTCTTGATACTTTTACATTTCTGTCTTTAATTTAGACAGTTTTATTATTATTATTTTATTAAGATCATTTTGGATTGGAATTTGGGGCTGACCTATTAGCTTCATAAACTTGGATATCTAAATCTTTCCTCGGGTTTGGGAAGTTCAGCCATTATTACTTTATTATTTTTTCTTTTTTTTTTAAGATTGTTTTTATTTATTTATTCATGAGAGAGAGAGAGAGGCAGAGACACAGGCAGAGGGAGAAGCAGGCTCCATGCTGGGAGCCTGATGTGGGACTCGATCCCAGGTCTCCAGGATCAGGCCCTGGGCTGAAGGCAGACGCTAAGTTGTTGAGCCACCCGGGCTGCCCCCCTTTATTACTTTAAATAAACTTCCTGTCACTTTCTCCTGAGACTCCAATAATTCATAGATTGTCTTAATGGTTTCCCATGAATCCCTTACACTTTTTTCATTCCTTTTCATTCTTTTTTTAAATTTTTGCTCCTCTGACTGAATAATTTCAAACTATCTGTCTTCAATTTCATTTATTCTTTCTTCTGCTTGGTTCAGTATGATGTTGAGCTCTGTACTGAATTCTTTAATTCAGTTATTGTATTCTTCAGCTCCAAACCTTTTTTGATTATTTTCTGTTTTCTGTCTCTTTGTTGAACTCATTTTGT